GTAGTAGTAGTAGTAGAAGTAGTACTAGTAGTAGTAGTAGTAGTAGTAGTAGTAGTAGTAGTAGTAGTAGTAGTAGTAGTAGTAGTAGTAGTAGTAGTAGTAGTAGTAGTAGTAGTAGTAGTAGTAGTAGTAGTAGTAGTAGTAGTAGTAGTAGTAGTAGCAGTAGTAGTAGTAGTAGTAGTAGCAGTAGTAGTAGTAGTAGCAGTAGCAGTAGCAGTAGCAGTAGCAGTAGCAGTAGCAGTAGCAGTAGCAGTAGCAGTAGCGGTAGCAGTAGCGGTAGCAGTAGTAGCAGTAGTAGCAGTAGTAGCAGTAGTAGTAGTAGTAGTAGTAGTAGTAGTCGTAGTCGTAGTCGTAGTCGTAGTCGTAGTCGTAGACGTAGTACGCGGGGCGTGGTCTCCTCAAAACGAGGACCCCACACCACAGGATGGTTGGGAAAAACATTTCGGCCGACATCAGGGGACTTCCCCTCACTGCGAACCCAGACATCCGACGCTGCGGTGCTCTCGCTGCTTGGAGGCATTTGATGAGCATCCCCTGCCGCGCGCTTGCACGCGCCGCGTGCGCACCGCACAAGAAGACCTTGAGACGAGCGTTGTGTGCTCCGTTTCCGGTGCAGCGGGAGCTCGCACCGTGCCCCCGAGGCGCCGGAGGGAGGGCCGCGTCGTGGGCCCGGGAGGGGCCGTGGCCTTCGGGCCGCTCCTCGGATCCAGGGCGGGGGGGCTCTGTGCGGCCGGGGTTGGCCGTGGCCAGAGGAGACCCCCCCCCCTCGTTGCTGACTCGGGCGTTCCTCGCGGCCCGCGAGGCCGTGGATGCAGATGTGCTCCTCGCCCACGAGGGTGGGGGATCGGAGAGAAGGCACCGACGCCTGTGCCTTTCCCTCGGTTTCGCCCTTCGGGACCTCTGGGAGGCCCTCGTCGCCACGGCTCGGTTCGTCTCGAAGTCGTGGTCAGCACGCACCCCAGGAAAGATCCGGGGAGCAGCGGTATCCTTGGCTGCCCTGATACGCCCGCCTTGAAACGGAGCACGCCGTGTTCAAAGCGTCCGTGTTGGCACGCTGCGTGCTGGCTCGCCGTGTTGGCCCACGCTTCGGCGAACGTATCGCGTCAGACCTACGTTCAGCTCCGAATCCATACGCTACGTGCTGCGTGTCGCGTATCGGGGCAGCTACGTTCCTAACTCGGCGTTCCTCGTGGCACCACGATGGCCGCATGTCGGCGTGGGGCGGCCTGGGCGGTCTTGCTTCTTCACTGCGCGCGCGTGGCTGGATGGAGGGCTCGGCCCCTGGCCGCGATACATAGGGACATTACATATACACGGGGGAAGGTGCTTGGAGGCAGCACATGGGGGCGATGAGTGGGACGATGCATGGGGGGCAGTACCTGGAGAGCAGTATGTGGGGGCGGTACCTGGGGGGCAAGACTTGGGGGCAACTGAGGGCAACACTTGGGGGGTAATGCATTGCCGCCGCCCCATCACCCTCATCCGCAGATTCAGGGTGCAGCCATGTTGGCCCCACCCAGGCCACCGAGGCCCCAACACTTCTGGCCCCTGACCTTGATTTGCGGGGCCCGTCTCATTTCTCGCCTCCGCTTTCTTTTCGCTTCTCGGCCAGTGCTTTGATACGCATGAGTTCGTCGACTCCACTGTTCGGCGTCCGCTCTGGTACACTGTCTCACGCTGTAGCGCAGCTTCGCTGTCGTGCATTACAGTCAAGAGGTAGAGGTGGGCGATTGTTTTGCGGTGAAAATTAGCCTGACGAAGGACCCAACCATATGCAGCTGCGAGCACCGCGAGGGCGATGAGACGAACCGTGTGAGCGGTGTGCCGAAATGAGTGCCTGGGACGCATGTGGACGCACCTCCTGGGGCCTTCGGTGGAGCTCCCTATGGGGCCACGAAGCGTGTGAGGGGGGTGCCGAAATGAGTTCCTGGGACCCTGGGGCCTTCAGTGGAGCTCCCCATGGGGCCAAGAACAATGTGAAGGGGTGTGCCGACATTGGGCGGCGAGGGCGCATGTGGCCACACCCCCTTGAGGCCTTCGGTGGAACTCCTTATGGGGCCGCGAGCCGTGTGAGGCGTGTGCCGAGATGGGTGGCAGGGACGCATGTCAATTGTGCCACTGGGGCCTTCGGCGGAGCTCCCTAGGGGCCACGAAGCGGGAACGCAGGTACATTGTGCCGCTGGGGCCTGCGGCGGAGCTCCCGGTGGGGCCACGAAACATGTGAGGGGTGTGCCGACATGGGTGGCGGGGACGCATTTAAATTGTGCCACTTGGGCCTTCGGTGGAGCCCCTTATGGGCCCACGAACCGCGTGAGGGGGGTGCCGTAATGGTTGGCGGGGACGCATGTAAATTGCACCATTGTGGCATTCTGTGGAGCTTCCTATAGGGCCACGAAACATGTGAGGTCTGCCGACATTGGGTGGCGGGGACGCATGCGAATTGCGCCACTGGGACCGTCGGTGAAGTTTCCTATGGGGCGACGAACCTTGTGAGGGATCTGCCGAAATGGGTGGCGGGGACGCATGTACAATGTGCCAGCGGGACCTTCGGCGGAGCTCCTATAGGGCCACGAAACATTTGAGGGGTGTGCCGAAATGGGCAACGGGGACGCATGCGAACTGTGCCACTGGGGCCTTCGGCGGAGCTCCTATGGGGCTATAAAACATGTGAGAGATGTGCCGAAATGGGTGGCGGGGACGCATGCGAACTGTGCCACCGGAACCGTCGGCGGAGCTTCCTGTGGGGCGACGAACCGTGTGAGGCGTGTGCTGAAATGCGTGGCGGGGACGCATGCGATGCGCGCCACTGGGACCTTCGGCGGAGCTCGTATAGGGCCACGAAACATGTGAGGGGTGTGGCGACATGTGTAGCGGGGACGCATGCGAACTGTGCCACTGGGACCTTCGGCGGAGCTACGATGGGGCCACGAAACGTGTTAGGGGTGTGCCGACATGTGTGGCGGGGATGCATGCGATGTGTGTCATTGGGACCTTCGGCGGAGCTCCTATGGGGCCACGAAACATGTGAGGGGTGTGCAGACATGGGCGGCGGTGACGCATGCGAACTGCGCCACTGGGACCTTCAGCGGAGCTCCTATGGGGCCACGAACCGTGTGATGGGTGTGCCGAAATGGTTGGCGGGGATACATGCGAATTGTGCCATTGAGACCTTCAGCGGAGCTCCTATGGGGCCACGAAACATGTGAGGGGTGTGCCGAAATCGGCGGCGGGGACGCATGCGAATTGCACCACTGGGACCTTCAGCGGAGCTCCCATGGGGTCACGAAACGTGTGAGGGGTGTGCCAAAGTGAGGGGGCGAACGGGAGGAGGGAGGAGAGGGGGAGGAGGAAGGAAGGAAGGAAGGAAGGAACGCGGGGACCGTCTCGACAAAACGAGGACCCAACACCACAGGATGGTTGGGAATAACTAGCCCAGCGAAGGACCCAACCAAAAACAGCTGCGAGTACCGCGAGGGAGATGAGACGAACCGTGTGAGGGGTGTGCCGAAATGAGTGCCTGGGACGCATGTGGACGCACACCCTGGGGCCTTCGGTGGAGATGGGGCCACGAACCGTGTGACGGGTGTGCCGACATGAGTTCCTGGCACGCATGTGGACGCACCCCTTGCGGCCTTTGGTGGAGCTCCCCATGGGGCCACGAACCGTGTGACGGGTGTGCCCAGATGGATGGCGGGGACGCGTGTAAACTATGTCACTGTGGCCTTCGGTGGAGCCCATTATGGGGCAACGAAGCGCGTGAGGGGTGAGCCGAAATGGGCGGCGGTGACGCATGCGAACGGCGCCACTGGGACCTTCGGCGGAGCTCTTATGGGGCCACGAGAAACGTGTGAGAGATGCCGAACTGGGTGGCGGGGACGCATGCGAACTGCGCCACTGAAACCTTCGGCGGAGCTCCGATGGGGCCGCGAACCGTGTGAGGGGTGTGCCAGAATGGGTAACGGGGACGCATGCGAACTGTGCCACTGGGGCCTTCGGCGGAGCTCCTATGGGGCCACGAAACGTGCGAGGCGTGTGCCGACATGGGTGGCGGTGACGCATGCGAACTGCGCCACTGGGACCTTCGGCGGAGCTCCTATGGGGCTACGAAACATGTGAAGGGGTGTGCCCAAGCGAGGGGGGCGACGATAATGATGGAGGAGAGAGGAGGGGAGGAGGAAGGAAGGAAGGGAGGAGGGAACGCGGGGACCGTCTCTTCAAAACGAGGACCCACTACCACAGGATGGCTGGAACAAACAGGCCGCAGAGGCCCCTCGGCGCGCGGCGAGCTCACCCCCGCCCAAGGCCCAGGGCGCTCCCCCGCGCGCGGCGGGGCTCCTCTGCCGCCGCGCCTCCCCTGCCCGTGGCCGCGCCAGGCTCGCGGCCATGGCCTCCGCGGGTCTGCTCGCGGGGCGGGCCCCGCGGGGGCTGCTGGTCTGGCTCACGGCGCTCGCGGCCGCGCCAGGCTTGGAGGTTCGGGCGATCGCAAACATGGATCAAGGGGGCGCGGATTAGCGACGGGCCCCGCTTCCGTGGGAAATCGCGGATTGCCGCCGCCGAGCGAGGAGGCAGCGGTCGCATTTTGGAGAGGGCGCTTCCCCCGATCCATGGATTGGGCGACCGTGCGCCAAATCCATGGATCGCTAATCCATGTTTGCGCGCCCCCGGGAGGTTGACCTGAGGCGGTGGATATCACGGATGTCAGTATCGTTTAACCGACCCGTGTCCCCATCCCCATCTCCATCCAGACCCCCACCATCTCAGCACCCCCGTTGGGGATGCACCCCTCGAGACCCGAAAGAAACAGCCTATATCCCCATCTATGGTCGTAAATCTGCCAGTGGGGCCCAGGCCACGCCCATGGGGATAGGGCTCGGTTAAAAGATACTCAGGATGCGCGTGAGCAGGGCCTACGGGGGTGACCTGGCGCAGATGGCTCAAGACTACCGGGTCGTCGTGGCGATGACGACGATTCCGCCGCGCATCCAGAGAATTGAGCCAGTGATTGATGCTATGCTGGCCCAGACGTGGCCGCTTGACAAGCTGTACCTCAGCATCCCGTACAGGTACAATCGCACTGGCGAGCCCTACATCATCCCTAATTGGCTTATATCGAAGCCTGGTGTACAGATTGCCCGCTGCGAGGACATGGGGCCAGGCACTCATTTGCTCAACGGGCTGCGGCTCGAGCAGGACCCTTGGACATTCATTGTCGTGGTTGACGACGATCACATCTACAGTCCCGACCTCGTGGAGACTCTGATGCGAGCGGCACTCGCGCATCCTGGCAACGCGGTGGCTGCCCAGGGCTTTCTTTCTGTGCCGGGGCTAGAGATCACTGAGGACTCCCCGCGGTACTTGCAGGACCAGGGATTCGCTGCTGGCCCAGTTCTGGTCAGCTACCTTGGAGTTGTCTACCAGCGGGGCTTCTTCGACGACAGCGTATTCGACTACAGCCAGGCGGCGGAGCAGTGCAAGTACCAGGACGACATGTGGTTCTCTGCCCACCTCGCGCTCAAGGGCATCGGGCGAGTGGTGCTGGGGGCTGCGCTCGGCGTCCGGGAGCTCAGAGACATGCACCTCGGGCCAGAGTCGCTGACGCACTGGACGGAGAACAGGCCCCGCCAGGTCAGCGCGAAGTGCAACGATTCGCTGCTGCGCCGAGCCAGCGCCCTGTGGGCGTGCCGCCCTCGCCTCGTGCTGGCGCTCGGCAGGCTACCCCCGCGCCCCTCCGGCGGCCACTCCGGCGACGGGGCGGACGCGGGCCGGTGGAGCTCCGCCCTGGAGGCGGTGCGGGGGTTGCCGATCAGCCCAGGAGGGATGAAGAGTATCAGTGATCGGCTGCAGGCCGCCAAAAAGGTGCGAGGGGACAGGCCTCCTCAGAAGGCGGCGGGGCTTCTCGGAGGCCCTCGCGCCTTCTGGGAAGCCGCCCGCGGCTTCGGAGAAGGCTGGCAAGGCTTCTCAGAAGGCGCGAGGGCTTTTTTTGCTCCCGCCATTGAGCTGTCACAGCGTACGGCCGTGCACACGCTGTCACAGCCCGCGGCAGGCCGCGCGTCATAGGACAGGTGGTGCGACCCTCTGGGGGCCCCGCTACAGCCAATCGGCGCCTCGCTCTACGAACACCGATAAGAAAGAGAGAAGGCGCGAGGGCTTCCGAGAAGCACGGCCGCCGACATGGCACTCGCGCCGTCTCTCAAACCGTGCGCGTGATGCCCAGTCGCCCTGCTTACGCGCAGAAGATGTTCTGCACCTCCTCCACAGCCCCAAAAACGCGGATGGGGTGCTCCGACCGGCGTGACACTGATACTGCGTCCCTCAGATCTTGGCGTTGCATTTTTTTCACAACGGGCGTTTTCGTCTGGCTTGGGGCCCCAAGACCCTCACAGATCGATCTGGCTCGAAAAATGGCGCAGAAACATGGGGTCCAGGGCTCCAGTTGCGATTTTCTACGATGTTGCAATTTTCTTGCCACGTCAGATCTGAGGGTTCTGACCTCCGACCAGCCCGGACCTGACCTACCTCTGCACCAGCGCCCGCGACCGGGCGGGGCCGCGCTGGCCCGTGGGCGCGTCCTCCTGGCTGGGCGGGGTGCTGGTCACGGACTCCGACGCCTGCCCAGAGGGGCCCCAGGAGCCGCGGGTCGGGGAGCTGCTGCAGGACCCCTTGCGTTGGGAGGGCGACCCGAGCACGGTGGTCGTCATAGACGAGAAAGATCCGCATCCTCGGATACATGGCGTTTTTCCGCGGATGCCCCGCGCAGAACGCATCCGTGCGACCGCGTACCCGCGGGAGCGCCCCAGAATCCACTCCGCGAAAACGCGGATAGTGATACATTCGCCGCTCGTGAGGTCGTCCTGGGCGCCCTGGAGGATGTCGTCGCGCAGAGTTCCGACCTGGTCGCGCTGGCCGAGTGTGCCGCCGCCCGGTTCCCCGGCGAGTGCGGGCGAGGCGGCGCCGGGCCCGTTGGCGGAGCCAGGCACGGCGCGGAGTCCGCGCTGGATGTGGGGCCAGATGCTGCCCGCGGAAGCTCGCCGTTTTGCCGGATCGGCGAGCTCGCCGCTGTGGCGGTGGGCGCGCTGAGCGGCGGGCCGGGCGCGGCCAGGACAGCGAGCGCCTAGCGTGCGGCCTAGTGCTGAGCAAGAGAGGTGTTTTTCATCGGCCGTGATCCTGTCCCTACTTCTCCTCGTACTGCTGCTTCTCTTTCCTCCTCACCCCCCCTTCCTCCTCCTCCTCCTCCTCCTCCTCCTCCTCCTCCGCCTCCTCCTCCGCCTCCTCCTCCTCCTCCTCCCCCCCTCCTCCTCCTCCTCCTCCTCCTCTCCCCTCTTCCTCCTCCTCTTCCCCTCCTCCACCTTTTCCTCCTCCTCCTCCTCCTCCTCCTCCTCCTCCTCCTCCTCCTCCTCCGCCTCCTCCTCCCGTAACCATGTTGGTTCAAGGTGTTGGCAACTGGGGGGTTCCGCGCCTCCGTCCCAGAAGGGATACCGCTGTCACCTCGGCCAGTCGTCAGCGGACGCTCCCAGCCCCTGTCGCCCGCTCGCGCCCGTTCGTGCCTGGAACGGATGGTGGTGGAGCCAAACGCAAAGGCGTCAAGAAGAAGACTCCTGGTGCTCGCCGTGCTGCTGTGGTGCAGGTGATGGCGTGCGTGGGGACGATGGCGCCGAAACGCGGGATGACGGCAGGTTTCGTTCCAGCCGTGCCCACACCGATGACAATGACGAAATGAATCCGTAAAACTGGGTCATTCACATCAAAGGTCTCGTCAACGGCAAGGTCGGTACCCAGTTCAAGGCCCTCAAAGACGAGCTCGCGGATATGGTTGTTACCACAGCCAGCGCTGCCGCTGGCAAAGCTGTTGACCCCGTCATGGCGGTGATCAAGGCGGTGGAGGAGGCTGCCAAGTCGGTCCGAACACTTGCAAGGCGCATGTTGAAGTTTCGCTTCGTCATGAGATCGATGCCCTGGGGAAGCGCTCCTTGGCGCAGCTTCACTCTCTGTTCGCAAGAGTGGCGGCGATCGACGGGGAGGATTGACAAGACTGTTGAAGAATTGTCCGGTACGCGTGCTTCAATGGACGAGATGCGGCGCGAGCCCGCGCTCGCCAACAGAGCCCCGCCACCTACCAAGCCTCCCTGCGCTGGGTTTGAACGCGAAGTCGACGGTACCGTTCTTAAGATTGGTGCGCCCACCATCGTCAAGAAGTTTGGCGTCGCCTCATATGTCGGCAGGTGGCTCAGCGACGCGACGATGGAGGGCTACAACGTGGTGGGGGGTGGAGCAAGGTCGGAACTTCACACTGCAATTCACACGCGCAGTCGTCGTCGTTGGATGCCGTCTGGTTCAGGCTCTTGGTGCCCTTCGCCTCCGTGGCAAGGGGCAGTGGACGCGCTTCCCATATTCTTGCTGCGTCTGATGGCTCTACTCAGTTGCACGTGGGCCCAGATAAGAGCCCGCACTAAATCAAATTCGACATGGTTGGGAAGAAAATTGCTGCTGCCCTCCGCGAGCGCTTCCCTGAGTCCAAGTTCTTCGACTGGCCGAATGGCTGGATGACTTAGAACGGAAACGCAATTCTTAGGCTGGAGCCCCAGGCTGGTCGAAATCCTGCTTTGTGTTTCTGGCACGATGCTGCTCTCACCACACGTGGCTGGACCCATGTCGGCGTGCGAAAGTGCATCGACCACGCACTCGAACCCAATGTTGCGCCAGACTGGCCCCTTCTAGCGTCTGCGATGGTATTTTCGCCCATGCTGCGGAAGGCGGTCGTGCCCCGAAGCTGGAGGAATTGGCCGTTACCTCATGGAACGCGAGGGTTCTCTTACGCTGGCGTGGACTTCAAGCCATGGCTAAGGCCACCGGCATGCAAAAGGCGGGCGTCCCCCCACTCCGCGTTTGCGATCCAGGAGGCGCAGTAGAGTTTGTAGGAGCTGCAATGTTTCGTGGGCAGAGTTGCGTTGTCATCGGTGGTCTTTGGATCGTTCGAAGTGGCTCGGGTAGGTCAGGCGCGCGGTGGTGTAGCCACTGTGGTGCCACTATCTTCGTTTGACTCGGCGCCTGCTTCGTCGTCTACTCTAAGCATGGGGAGAGCGCTCAAGACAGTTTTGAGCGGATTGCGAGGAGGGAGTTGGCATTACAACGTTCACAACCATGGGTTGACGACAGATAACATTCAGAAGGTGGCTACAGAGTTGGAAAATGATTCTTCTTGGGCCCCAGCGGGTGCTATCTCGCGGCCGGCGGTGGTCCGAGGCGACACCTGGACGGACACCTAAGGGGTGCCCGACGTTCTGGAGACGCATTGGGAGCAGGTCTTCCAGCAGAGGGGGCATCAACTCAGACAAATCGGACCGTTGGTTGCAGGCGCAGTTCCCCGCGGGCCCAGCGCAGCAGCCGGGCAGAAAACGCGATCACCAATGTCGCCCGCGCGATTGGCGCGAGGGCCTGCCACCACCTGGCCCACCGCTTGGGACATTCGGCGGAAGGACCTCGCCCCGGCCATCAAACGCAGCAGGAACATTGCTCCAGGCCCGGACGGGGCCCCTTACAAGTTGCGACGCCATGGGCCTGACGACTCACTGACTCTCCAGACGGCGTACCAGGGCGAGCACGAGTTCAACGCGGGCATTCCGGCGCGCCCCCCATAGGTCGCGGCGGGCACGACGGAGGAAAGAGATGGCACTTTTACGGCTGATTGCACAAGACCCTTTTCCATTGTGAACACGGACAACCGCCTCGTGCGCGGCGCAGCCCGCGCACGCTGGGAGGCAAGATTCACCCGGTGGGTTTCTGGAAGCTCAAGGGGGTTCTCGCGCGACCGCCCAATGCTCAGCGATGTGGTCACCATCGACCACGAGGCTACGCGGGTAAGCTTGACGCGCCCGCAGAGCGGCATCATCCCGTTTGACTTCCGCGCGTCTTTCCCATCCATCGAGCGCGACCCCATGTTTCGCACTCTGCGTTGGATCGGCATGCCTGGGCGGCAAGTGCAGTTTCCCCAGGCCATGTCGCATGTTTCGGCATCCACTTTTTGGCGGCAGCTGCGGTTGCACGTCGTCCGCCCCCATATCCCCCCCCTACATAAGAAAAGCTTCAATGGGGAAGGTTACAGAAGAAGTTTCGTTCTTCTCCAATGGCCTGGTGGGCTTCAAGCACACTTCGTGGATTCGTCGGGTGGCTGACTCACGTCTGCTAGGATTTCAACACATACTGGACTGCGCAACTACATCTTTGGCTGCGAAGTCTATCGCGACGGGATTGGCCCCCATTGGGAATGTCGGACCCTCGCGCGGGGAACCGCGAAGGGCAAGTCTGGCGGGCAGCAATTCACTTCATGGGGCGCGCTGGTTCGCAGGCGTCTTCGAGGCGCTTTCGACGACGACCTGCTGAACATCCAAGTCGCGACCATCCTGTGCCACGAGTCTCTCCAGCTCGATTTTGCCCCGCCCGACGTTCTTCTCAAGGCTGCGCGCGGTGCCCTTCGCGCACGTGCTCCTGCGCATCCTGTTGCTGGGCGGGCTCGCACTTCTCGGCGAGTTACCTTTTCCAACTTCGAATGCGCCGAAGGGAATGCGGCTGCCGACGCGTCCGATCACGGCCGCGAGAAAGTCGATCTCCTGACCGAGCTGCCGTTCGGATGCCACACTTTACACGATGGCCTTCTGCACCGAGTTATGTTTCTTCTTGCTGCTGGCGAAGCGCGCTTCTCTACCGCTGCCCCACTGGGAGCTGGTAGGGCAGTACCTGATCGGCTTCATGGCCTCCTTCAGCGCGCTGAGTCTTCGGGCGAAATTGGACACCTTCGCCCCCGCTGGAAGAGGCGCACCGCTCCGACTTCGAGGACTGGAAATGGTGGGGCGCCGGCTTCGTAGCCGACATCCTCAGGTACCACACCCTTTTGTAGGCTTCCCTAACGAGGACGCCACGACGGGCGAGCGCCTCTCCCTCGGGTCGGCGGCGCGCCGCGTGGGATGGCATAACTCTTCTGCTGGGCGCACGACCTTGCCTGCTCATGCGACTGGCCCTTGGCCTGCAAGCGACCACCTGCGCCCACTGGCCCTGCGAGCTCGCGGCGAGGAGCTCCTCGCGCAGCGACAGTGACAGCGCAGCAAGCATAGCATGTCTTCGCGGCAGTGGAATATCATGATGACTGACCAGCTCGCTCGGCCCAGGCGCACGGAGAGGAGGCTGCATCCGATTATCGCGAGCGGGGCGCAAGCCAGAGTTGAGCGCCATCACCGCGATTGCGACGAGCTCATCTTCGACATCGAGGAAATTGAGGAGGACAGACCTCTCAGCTCAAGAGTTAAAACGCAAATCCAGGAGATGGCCCCCTTCTGGTTTGTTCTTCGCCGCGCTGTGGATTCCAGCGCATCTCGCCATCTTGCCCGGGCGCAAGGGGTGGAGGAGCTGATGCTCCAGGCGTTAGATCGCGAGTCCCTTTTGTCGTGTTCGGGCTCATGTCCCACGTTTTGTCAGTGCCTCGCAATCCTGGAAAACCAAGGAATGGCCTCGCCGGCTCGTCGTCGCCACCGCTGGGAGTTGGGCGCAGCGCGGGACGGCGGCCGCCACTGCCCTTACCGCGTGAGCAGCGTCGTCGGGATCTGGCAGATGGTATTTCAGCCTGGGCGCAAAATTTGCTACCATCTGTGGGTCAGCCTCGACGGCAGCGACTTGCGACAATGGATGGAGTGCTATGTGTGGCGGACAGACTTCGGCATTCAGGATATCAGGCATTGGTCAACGCATCTCCACGAGACACTCCTGGGGCGCCCACTAGCTCTCCGGGCAGGTGGAACTTAGCCATCGAGATGCGCATGAGTGGATGGCACTCTTCAGCTGTCCCACACGACCAGATGAGGATGCATGTGAGGTCTCCGTGGTCTGTGCACGACGACAAGCGCATCACCGTTCTTCGCCAAGAGGCTCTCGCACATTTTCGGCAGAGAGAGAGTGGGTAGCGGACATCACCATGATGGCCACTATCGAGCGGTCGTACTTCAGAGCTACCCAGCGGGCCCACAACCCTGGCCGCGAGCTCTCCTTTCAGCCACATCTTCAGTTTCTGCCGCATCTGCGGATAAAACCTGCGCCTCGTGGATTGCCAGCGCCGATCCTGGTCAATCTGATGAAGATAATGGCAGCGTGGCCCCAACCGATGCGGACATCGAGCTCACGGCCACGACAGAGGCTGAGGACGAACAGCAGGCGCGCGAGCGACATGCTGAGGGCGAAGCGCCCTATGAGAACGACAC